GTCACAAACATATTCGTTATTATATAAGGAAAACTACGAAGAATATGAAAAAGAATATCAGTACTGCGAAGATTTTTATCATCAGTTTGGAAGTACTTCAATATTTGTATGTTTGTATCGATACGCTCCACAGTCTCCTCTTGCTCCTTAACCATATGTGCTGATTGTTGAAATATACCGCCTAGCTCGACAATAGTCGATTCAATGTTCTGCACAGTGTTGCCGTTTTAGCCCTTTGGTGGCTAAATTTGGCTACCAAATTCTTTTTTTGGCCACAAAAATTTGAAATTGCCCCTAGCCCTTTTTTTAGCTCTTTTCAAAATTTATTCATCATTGACATTAAATTTTTTTTTATGATTTTCATGAATTTAACTTTAAGGCAAGTAAACATATGTCTATGTATGTTCCTTACGTTTCTGGGCCGTTATCTTATCCATTAACGATTTAACTATACTTTAAAATAGGTAAGTCGGCGGCCCTTAATATGCTTTATGTGTTACACAAAAAGTTTTTTTGTTGAATAAAATATTAATTCTTTTCAGAGTTCATTGTTTTTCTATACCAGTAATTATAGAAAATGTTTGCGTGTATACATATATATTTATACTAGCAGTACCCCGGTGTGCTTCTCTACACCAAATATTGAAAAACGAATGAAAAGTCCTGGAATTTTTCTATATGAAAATTTATCATTTATTTTATATCAAAATTTTATATTCTTTATTTTAAATCTTAATCCAACACATTTGGATATACAAAATTTTTTGGTTTTTCCATCTTGGGTATGACAAAAAAAAACAATTTGGAATGCCAACTCTTGAACAGGCCACGTATAGCTACCAATTCCAGTAATCGACCACAAATATTTCAAGAGATATACCAGCTGAAAATTTTTGTTAGTATGGGTGGTGCCACGCCCCCTTTTCCGAATTCGGGGAAACCTAACACAAACCATCTGCATAATAGCCCGAATATGCCGTATAAATTTGGTTGAAATCTTGCACTTATTCTTTATATATAAGATGGGAGGTGCCACGCCCTCTTTTCCAATAATATAATAATAATAATAATAGATTGGCGCTTACACATATGTTAGTGTTTAACCGAGCTTCTCCTCCGATTTGTGGCGTGCGCCTTGATGTTCTCACACAGTTTTACGCCGACTCCGAACGGCGATTGCATTTGTATGAGAAGCTGTTTTTCATGGCAGAAATACACTCGGAGGTTTGCCATTGCCTGCCGAGGGACGACCGCTGTTAAGAAAAAGCCTTTTTTTTTATTTTTTGCGATGTTGCCTTGACCAGGGCTTGAACCCGGGTGCTGATGAGTGAAAGCGCGCACTGCTTACCACTACACCACAGCGGCCGACAATTCCAATACCGCCCATTTTTATCCATGAGTATGGAATTATTTGTTATACCTCTATACCAACTTCCAGTACTCTACCACAAATATTTCAAGAGATATACAACAAAAAAATTTTAGTTAGTATGGAAGGTGCCACACCCCTTTTACGAATTCGGGCAAACTTCACATAAACCATCTGCATGATAGCCTGAATATGCCGTATAAATTTGGTTGAATTCGGTGAAGCCGTTCTCAAGTTATAAGCTCACACCAAAAACGTGTACTTATTTGTATACATAAGATACATACATATGCCACGCCCCTTTTCCAAATTTGGGCAAACTCCACATAAAATATCTGCATGATGGCCCGAATATGCCGCATAAATTTGGTTGAATTCGGTGAAGCCGTTCTTAAGTTATATTGCCACACCACAAACGTTCACTTATTTTTATATTTTAGTTAGTATGGGTGGTACCACGCCCCCTCTTCCGAATTCGGTAAAACTTCGCATAAACCATCTGCATGATAAATCGAATATGCCACATAAATTTGGTTGAATTCGGTGAAGTTGTTCTCAAGTTATGAGGTCACACCGAAAACGTGCACTTAGTTTTATATATAAGATGAAGGTAAAAAAATTTAGCTACCATTTTTAGCTTTTTTAGCCCTTTTTTAGCTGGAATTTAGCTACCACTAAAAACGTTTCGCGGCAACAGTGGTTCTGCATAGTCTCAGCCCGCTGTTGCACGTAACTATCGGAGTCATCATATAATGCAATCTGCTGCTGCGTCTGTATCCCACTACCTCCGACTGCACCCAGCAATGGTGTTGTATCACTTGCGGCCATGTCAATGCTTACGGCCGTATTCTCTTCGCTTAACAGCAAGGAGCCCTGTTTCGCTGTACTCGAGCGAACAGTGCTAGCAGCAATTGGTGACTGCCCGAATTGATCCCGACGCGCTTTTTGTTGTTTGAGATTTTTTATACGCACTTCTAGTATCTGTTTGAAGTCGGTGCCCATGCTGGCTAATTTAGATTGTAACGCATACACCATGATGTAAGTCAATTCTTGAATCTATTGCGGTCGATCATCAAAAAGACTCTTCTTTTTAGCCACTGCAAAAGAAGAGGTAAAGTAATATTTATAATTAAGAACACCTATTCATTTTATACTCACGCATTGTAAATTTTTCCAACTTGGCATATGCACTTGCTATGTTTTTGCCAATATATGTGACCATCATATATTCCTCTCATACGTCAATTGTTGCACCATAGCCTGTAAGAAATGCATAAACATAATAATGTAAACGTCTTCAAATGCACTTCTACTTCTAACTTACTTGTAAGTCTCTAATATGTTGCTCGTACATAAATTGCGTCTGCGTCGAGGTCTCTATCCGATTGCGGCCTTGGTTTACATTGGCCTTATCCGACAACTGGCGTATGATAAGCTGCGCCATTTCCAACTCATTTGACTTTTCTTTGAACTGATGTTCAACATCGGGAGCACGTTGCTGCATTACATCTAACAGCCTTTTCATTTCATCCAGATGAGCCGCTTGATGTGGCCAACACCCAAAAGGTTTGTTTACAAAGTGCATTTTTGAGTAGTTGAACAAATGCCAGTGGGCAGCCAGCGGGTCAGTTGTTGGCAACAATTTGCAGGCTTGGGCCCAGCGTTTGTTGCGGCTGCCGGAAAAGTAGCTAAATAATGAAAGTAATTATATCTATAGCGGAGTAGGAGGTTTTCCTTTATCTTAAAAGCTTGCTTACTGATTTCACTAATTGACGACGATGCAACGATCACCGTGGAATCGTTCTGCAAATTGTTACCAGCAACTGACCCGCTGGCGGCCCGCTGGTATTTGTTCAATTACTGAAAAAATGCAAATCATTATAATGATTGCAGTGTTTTAACACTTTAAGCGATTTGCATTGCATTTAAGAAGTACACATTCTTTACTTTTAAACAACCAATTTACCATTTAAAATTAAATAATTCCGTAAATCCGCGATTTATTATGCACTTTGTAAACAAACCTTTCAATTTCGCCCCAGCTGTTCGATTCTTCTCCTTTTTCTTATTGAATTCGTCTTTGTTCTCTCATTCTGGTATTTTTTGACGTCACGGCCAGTTGCTCTCAGCTCGATTGGCGCAATCTTGTATTCTATCGTTCTTG